AAAGTCAACTTTTGTTTTTGACCATTTTAATTTTGTGATTAAAGCACACACCGATTATTTACACACGAAATTATTTTTACTGCGCAAAACAACAGAGGCGCTTTGAATATTTTCGTGAGATTTTTTATGACTTCGATGCAATATTCAAATTTGAATCCGGTTTTTCGTGAATTTAATTCAATAAACTGATTCTATATTGGATATGGTCACGGCTGCAAAATCCATCTACTAGATGACGGTGTGAATATGTTAGTTTCAAATTCATTCATTATTAACACCACATTCAATTGAACTTCCATAATAATAAAAATCAGTTTTAGTCACTTTAAAGTCATTATTATATTAGTTATTATTGCTTCAAATTCGAAAATATAGTATTAATCCGTTTAGGTCTTTTAAATATTCATGAACATAGACAGGGAAAAATGACGTCAGAACTGTCTCTCACATTGGTTATGCATACTTAATTAGCTAGACATTGTGGACACAAACAACTAATTCAGAATATTCTTTATTAATTGTACATGTATTTCAATATCAATAAGTCAAGGTGATTTGCTTGGTGTGCTTTTTTTGGAAAAAGTTAACCAAATTATATGATGCTTTTCATAATTTTTGCATTACCAACTAAACCATTCTCTCATTTCATTCAACAGAATTTCAATTATTACCGTGTGTAAACAAAATTGAAAATTCAATAAAGACATATAATTTTACGTTTCATCATTCCGCTATGCTTTTTATCTCCAACAAATTTGTATGCATTCGTAAACAAAACCAAAAACAAAAAACGTCAACAAATTAACAGCAGAAGAAGAAGAAGAAGAAGAAGAAGAAGAAGAACTTGCTTTATGATATCATCATCGATTTGTTCATTGATTTTATATGGCGATCTTCATTCATTATTCACGTTTACCTGAAATGGACCATTTCATTGAATTCAACCTCTCAAACAGATATTTCGAAGTCTTACTGGCGCACTATTTGTACACACTTTTCGAATAAGAAAAAATTAGTGAACAGTGGCAATCTCTATCAATTCAAGTTTCAAGAAAAAAAATTGTGGCTACTTCAAAAATCGTTGCGCATTTTACATAACCGAACATATTAAATTTTCAAAGAAGAAAAACACTGTTGACGTTTATAAACAGAGATGCACGCAAACAAATTTAGTTGGTTAGAAGAGAATTCAAATAAATGTATGGCTTATCAAAATACTGAAAACATCAAATTTATACCTTTTTAGTCTGTGACTTTATTATTCTCCGTTTTATCTTATTTTTGACTGTTTTATACCAAAACACAACAAGTTGTGCTTAATTTTGAAAATTGAAATTATTAACGTTCAAATTATTTTGAATTACGAAATAAACGAACGAGAACAATGAAATGATTTTTTCAAACGAAATGCAATTATTTAATTGTATAGATTTTGAACCGGTTTAATGTGTGCTGAATGGATTTGCGAAATAAAATTAGATATGAACACAGACCATGAACACTTAAGTCAATCGGTGTTTTATTATAGTACAAAATGGAAAATACTGCCAGAATACAATATGTTGTATTCATTCGACCAAACAATATTTTACTTCGCACAAAGACCAAGGGCCATATTGTGTACACAGAACACATGTTCACACTCATATATATATCACCTTTCTGTTTTGGCTTTCTCTCATGCATAATTTCCGTGATAATTATCGTCTTCTTCTTACAAGCGATCAGTCAAGCGGACTGTAATTTACTTTACTTATTCTTTCTCTGTTTCAGAACTCAAGTATTTACAAGTCAGATAAAATAACAAACAAATGTAGCTCGACTTGGTGCCTAACTCACTTACTGAGTTTGGTCCCATACATGATGACAACATTTTTTTTTCTCTGTTATTCTCTTTTTATATTTTACGGCGACAGTTTTACCGTATTTTTAAATTGAGGAACAAAATGAATATATGGCGATGTGTGTGCTTCTAAAACAAAAATAACTCGAATTCATCATATATGGAAAGATACGTTTGTCGTGAACAGAAACAAGCTAAACGAAAGCCTGAAATATCAAAATATGAACATCAATCGCATTAAGAACAAAGTTCTTAGTATGCTAACCGTGTGCTAAGAAGAAACACTTAGAAAAAAAGAGAGAGAAGGAGAGAGAAAGAGAAAGAGAGAAGGCACCGAGTTGATCTTATGTGTGTGTTTATTGCAATGTGTGTTTTGATAGATACATTGAGAATGCAGCCATTTTGGAATTTGTTGATGGCAGGCGCATACTTTCAGTTTTACATACTTTTTTATTCGCAGTTCTTCAGCGATTCTCACTACACAATTTGTATTTTGATATGTAATCAAAGATAGTTGTCGAATATACTTTGAGTATGACACGAGTATTGTCTCCAGCGGGTAAATATTCATACGGTGAAATGTGTTATGCAGTATCAGTACATGGACTTCCAGATTCTAGAATCCAGAAAATAGATTTGATATCGATAGTTTTCGCGCGACAACATTATTAGCATTTATTTTTGCCAAACCGAATTTTAAACCATAACATATGAGATTTTATGTAACTTACCTGAAAACTTTGAATATGTTCCGCACAAGAAATATGTCGTTTCCTTTTTATCTCGTTTAATTTGATGTAAATAAAATATGTTTATCCAAAAATCGAGCGATGCAAAATTTCAAAAAATCGATTATGATCACAATCAATCGCTTCGTTGCCTTCATATGATTTTAATTTATCTTTTTTTTTGAATATTTGATCCAGTGTTTTATTTAAATTATAAAATTCTCTCTTTTAGCGAAATTCTGGTCGTTCAAACTTTTCTTTTTGTTCTCATAATTCAATCATGAGTTTTATATAAGGTGAAAAACAGCGTGTTCATGATATTTGTTGCGATAAGAATCACTTTCACTATATATATTTTTACGGATTCAGTTGTTGTTAGAACTTTCAAAAATCGTTTTATTCGTTTTTCCAAAGGGTGTTCATTATTTTTTAATTGTGCAAATTGCTTGTATGAAAAACTCGTTCTGTTGTATGAAATATTCTTTCGACCATAATAATACGAAAAGAAAAACTAATAATAAAAATTAATGACGAAAACAACGTCACTGCATATAAAAGTAAAGTTATTTTCAATTAACGACTTTCGGTTTGTGTTAAATGAATGACGTTCACAATTCTATTCGAAAGCACAATTTTCTGCTGCTATAATTCTGCACAGGTTTTGACAGCACTTTGTATGTGTTGTTTTTTCGTTTTGAATGAAAAATAATAAAAAAATCTTTCAGTCACTTTTTCGGAGTCTTTCATTGAATCAATCGTCGATTGGTAAAACCAAGTGCATATTAAATACCGCACACATGTAGAACCCGCACAAGCAGCTGTCAGAGTCAGTCAGTCAGTGTGTGTTTGTAGATCTACTGTAGTTGCATACAACGAATACGTAAAGAATGAAATAAACAACAAACCACTACAACTACATAAGACGAACCCGAAATGTTTGTTTCTTAATTGACTGCACTCGATCCATGTGAATTTGACGATACTCAACAAGGTTTTATCTTGTTCGCTTTTGCATCGTTTTCCTTAGCGACGAAACTGTTTTATTTATTCTGTCTTTTTATGACTTAAATTCACAATTCATGTTTATCTTGTGTTCCAGATTTAATTCACACGTCTTGATCTCACAGATATCGAATGAATTGTCGTGATTTTATGAATCTGTTAAGATGTGCTACTTTTTCTTCTTCCGAATTTAATTAGCAAATGTCAATTTCAATACTCTTTGGTTTGGTTTTTTTGAACACAATAAAAACCAATTCAAAACTAAAAATGTTGAATTTTTATTACGATTTATAGAATTGAATATGTTTCATTTGCGTTTTTGTTGTTCAGAAATGTTTTGAACGCAAATTAAGATTATATGTGAAACAAAACTAAGCCGAATAAATTGATGTGTTTAAAATCGTATCTCAATTGGCTTTCAACGCGGTATTTCAACTTCTTGCGCTCCAGTTCAATGTAATGCCAAAGTATTGGTTGGTTGGTTAAATTGTATGGCAACTAATGTATGTATATACACTCATTAGTTTGCTCTTCAGCAAAGCTCACTGCAAAATTCTTATAACTGTAAATTCTCGCGCACATTCGGCGTACGCGAAAACAAGAATATGCGATTGTTGGTGAGTTTTCTATAATGTATGTCAAAATGCGTTCCACTCAGTGTGTACTCGTTGTATTTGGTCCAGGTAGTAACTTGCTTGACAGTGGTCAATCCGAATAAAAACGATATTGTTTGATACAAAAAAAATATTTCATGTATGTTTGATTTTGTCAAAAAAAATTAAAACTGAATTTAATTTAATACCGATGAAAATTACTTAGAAAAAACTATTTTATTTATCCTCGAACGGTGAGTAGAATATGCTGTGTGTAATCTGTTTCAATGTGCAATGTCGTATGAATGCGCACCACTAACTGTTTGCCTTTTTCGCGAATTCATTCAACTCCAATATTTTTGTTATGTTTTCTGTGTCTTGTAGTGTGTGGTGGTAGGTGTGTATATGTGTTAATGTTGGTATTTGTGTGCGTAGGCTGTATGGTCCATATCTGGGCATGTGCGTGTCAGTGTGTTTGTTTTTCTTTGCTCTTCGAATTTCGAACAAAGTGTTGTAGTACACCATTTTCAACATTATCGATATTCATATCGCATACATTTTATATATGTTTTATATTTCGATTTGGCTTATATTCGTATGCAATACATCGAAACGACGCTCTCTTTAAATTTTCTTGCCAATTTAAAATATTCTCATTTTTTGCTTAATTTTTAATTGTTTTGTTTAAGAGATGTTCTTTATAATAAAATTAATAAAAATAAAACGATTTAATTTAAAAATCCTTTGGGCTTTAGCTTTGTGACGACCTTGTTCGAAATTCGAAAAGTCATCAGGGTACACTCAAATTATTATTTGACATTTTATGACGGATTTCAAAATTCAAACTCTTTGTTGTATAAAACTAAACAATAACATTGATTTAATTTATTTTTATTTGGATTTATTGTAAGTAACGTTTCAACTTTTTTATGATGATTTTTTAGTTTTCCAAAATAGTGGTTTTCACCCAATTTACCACAAAAAACTAATTTTAATTTTCTATTATAATATAGTTTAACAAAAGAATCCAAACCAGAGCGATTAGCGTTACCCAAAATGTACTATTGGAAAAACTGGACGCTAAACTCTGTGAATGCACTTCAAATGGAAGACGATGCTGCGAACACCAATGATCATCATCAACAACAACAACAACCGGAACAAGAACATGAATATCGAAAGCTGCAATTTACCATTGTTTGGCTTCCAGACATTGTTGCGGCAAGGGGCATAATGTACAAAGGTACAATTTTCTGTTGTAATTTATTTTGAATAACATTAACTCAAATTCATTGATTACAGCTCTGTGTTTCATTTTTGATTTAGCATTGATAAGTTTGTTTGTAAGACCACCACAACCTCGAAGACCACCGTATCGTAAAAAACCACCGGTACGCAGACAGCCAAAAGAAAATGTAAATTTTCTTCCAGTCCAAGTAAACAATAATGATCAACCAGCATCAATCAATTGAAGAAAAGAAAACTTGTTAACTAAAATAGTTATTACCAAAGTTTGTTTTTGTGGCTTTGATTTGTACATAATATCTGAGATATTGTGTATAAAGTACCCCACGGTAAGACTAATTTTACTAACCAATTGATTACAATTTTTATTGGTGTTGATTTTTAAGCTCTATTTTAATTAACATATTGATTTCAGTTCATAGGGAATTTTATGCATAACTCTTTTTGTCTCTTTTTTTCATTTCATTATGACGTTAAATTCGACTGAAACAACACACAACTGCAAGCCCGCATTCGACCATCAATATATACCCCGATAATGGATGAATTTGCTCCAACAATTGTTTAGTGAGTAGTTTAACAAAAAGATGGCACCAAAAAATACACCTGGTCAACGAATTTACATTTCGCCGGAAAAATATTTATCTATTTCTTTCGGAACTACTGATGGGAAAACTCTGACATTGCACAAATATTAAACGTAAGTGGTCTGACGATATAAATTTTGTTGAAATTCTCGGTAATATTGCTTCTGATGTAGCCACTATATTTTAGGTTAAAGACAAAGACAGCTCATAACTAAAATCAAATTATATTTAGATTAAACATTATATTTAGCTCATAACTAATCAATATATTAGGTATTTGTTCGAAATTTAAAATATGTGATCATTTTTTTATTTTCAAAATATCAATAGGCACACTCTTTACAAGACAATTTGCCACCGCCTACAGCACTTTGGATGTTGATTTAAGAGCTGACAGCCGAGGAAATATCTGGTCTGTCGTCCAAATTAAATATCAAACAAATTTATCAAATATTGTTTGGAGTCATTGCTCGGACCAATCATATCACTGCTAAGAGATTCTCTCGAAACTGATGTTGTTCCACAAATATGGAAGACATCATATGTACGACCAGTTTACAAAAACGGTGACAGAAACAACATCGAATATTACCGGAGTGTTGCTCTTCAGTCTTCAGTGTATGGTGTCTAAATTACTTGATTCAATCGTCACAAACCATCTCAATCTATATCTGACGAACATTGTTTACGAAAACCAGCATGGATTCATCAAGAACAGGTCAACAACGATAACAAACTTGGCAGAATTTACATCAAATACGATTATCAACATGGGTAAAGGTACCATTTAGCATCGCAAAGGTTTTTGATTCTGTAAACATCAATTACTAATTCAAAAGCTAGAAATAATGGATCTTAAAATGGATCGAATCTTATTTGTTTCACAGATATTGGATACCAAATCAGTCAAATCATTTGATGAAGGTAATCGATCAAGTTTTTCTCACCGATAAAATTGTCTAGAATGTGTTGGAAGAACACATAAGATGGTAAACGATGTTTTTTTTTATTGCTATGAGACCCTTTAAAATGAAACGGGCGTTAAAATCGCGATGTGAATAATGCTTTGAAGAAAATTGAGTGGTATCCAAATTTCCTTCATTTTTCTACATTTAGCCCACTTTAAAATAAATAGATTCATATTCATTTCCGTCAGCAGAAATGTGTATTTTTTTAATGATAAATGTCTCTTGTTGAACCAAAATTTTATGTTATGAATTACTATTAACGTAATGTGCCCAGTTACAGGAGACCTAATAAGCTTGTTTGAATTTGAACTATTCTAGAGAAAAAAATATGTTATATTTCTTATTACTCTTTTCGTAGATCGCTTCGTTATTCATTTCTCTCTCAAAATATTTCTATATATTGGGTGTATCAATTAATTTTTACCGCTGACTGTTAGATGTCGCCACTTGTCCGAGATATCGTTTCGAAATGCTGAAGAAGTGCGAAAATGGATCGATGACTGGATAGCTTCAAAAGATGAGGAATTCTTTCGACGCGGAATCGACAAGCTACCAAGAAGATGGGCGGAAGTCATAGCTAACAATGGGCAATACATCGGTTAAAAAATATTGTACGCTTTCTTTAAAATAAACTTACATTTTCACCCAAAAAACGGTAAAAATTAATTGATACACCCAATATTTCACAAAGCCTTTATTTTATTCATTTTATTTCTATCGAATATATCGAGAAGAGAGTATGTTATTCAGCGCTTATGGCTGATATCTGAATAAAAACATACTCTCCTCTCGATATTTTCAATAGATTTATAAAAAACGGAAACAAGTCAACTTGCCTTGGTATCGGACTTGTAGTGTTTGCTGATGTGCCAGTTATCGGACAGAGAGTTGGTATCAGTTATCGGACATAGTTTTCAGACAATAAAAGAAAAGCGAGAACGGAAAAATCATGAAATTGTTTTCATTCGATAGGCGATAAAAACTTGATTATTTGGAAAATATGTTCAAAATATTTTATTTTGGATTTTCCGACAAAATTTCGAATTCTCGTATTTATTAAGATGAAAAGAATGTCAATTTGGACACTATTTTCAAGAGTATATTAACGCGATAATTTTGGAGAGAAATGTTTAAACATTATATAAAAAGAATCAGAAAAATTCACTGAATAAAAATATTTTGAAATTAAAATACAATTTTATTATTGAAGTAAACATTTCACTTAGTGGAACAATCCTTTCTGTTTGAAGAACTCTTTAACACAAGAGCGTATATCGTGTCCGATAATTGGGCATTACGATTTTGTATGAAAATGTACCAGATATCGGACATTGGAAAAAACGTCAAATTAAACGCTTTAAAAAAATTCAATTCGATAAATTGTAATAATTTTCAAAAAATTCAAAATCTTCGCTTCAAAAATATATAATTATTGCAGCATAGGAAATTGAAATAATTTAAAAAAAAACCATTCTAATGTTCACTTGAACTGTTCTACATGTCCGATAACTGGGCAAATACCATAAATAAAACACTTTTTCCTGCCCAGTTCTAGGACAGGTAAAAAAGGTTGAAAATTTATAAAATTTATTTTATATAACATTTAAAATTAAAGCTACGATATTTAATTATTTAAAATGCTAAAGTTAATGATAAAAAAAGGATAGTCATTTGTAATGTAAAAAATAACTTTTAATGCCCTCTAATCGAAAAAAATTTGAGCTTTCTTTTTATATATATAAATTTAAGAATATTTTAGTATAAATTCGTTTTTTTTTTTTAAAATACAAAGCAAATGTCGGATAACTGGGTGCTGTCCGGTAACTGGGCACATTACGTTACATGTATAATATACCTCTTAATTACACCATATGCACTGAGATAAATTTAACATTGAAAGTTTCAAAAAAGTCCTAGCTGGGTGTTAAAGCTTGAAAGCGCTTGAAAGCTTGAATCAAAACAATGTATATGTAAATGGAGATGGTTATGGTTAATTGTTATGAATGAAAGCTTTGTTTACACGCAATAACAATAGTGACAGCAGAATAATTTAAAAAATAATTTAATTCAAAATCTTATTTCGTAAAATTAATCATCCAAACGAATCTCTTTGAATTGTTTTAATAATAAATTTCAAAAATGTCCATTCTGAACTGATTTTTTTTAAGCCATCGTTAATATCGGCATTTTGGTTATTAAAAAAAATGAAATATAGTTTATATATGTGGTTTCAGATGCAGCGGACACAGACTTAATTTTCACAACAATGAAAGTGGAAATGATTCTCGTAAGCTTACGTGAAGTAAATCAATTCAAATTTTCCGTATAATCAACTTGAAATTCAATTTTGAATTTTAAAATGTGTAAACCAGTAAATGCATATGTTTAATGAATAGTGTCCTAGAGTATGTATTGCTATAGAGCGAGGCATATGTAAGCATGAAATTGCTAAATGGAGGATACGTTACAGCTACCAAATGTTATAATATAGCCATGTAGTTGGCATCGGCATACAAAGAGATTTTACCGTCACCTCTCGTTATTATCTTTTTGTTTGTGAAAAACTTTGGTTTTCCTTAATATTAAGGAACTATTTAGTTTTTGAATTCAAAGTTTGAATTCTAATTCATCCTGTAATTTTATCGCAGTTCACTCTTCTGTATATCAAAAATTCTCACGCATCCAAGTCTGAATGTCGTCATTGATAGTTTGTGTTTTAGTTATTGCTTGAAACTGAACAGTGAACAATTGTAATATTTTCTGACGTTAAAATTGTATACCATTGAAATAATTCGTTTATTTCGTGCGTTTTGATTGCACCACATGCGAAATGGTTAAATATCTTGAAATCACCTCGAGCGTAAGCAATATTTATTAATTATGAATCTGATTATTATTATGGATATTGAACGTAAGAATAAGCTGTTGGTGACATTATAAAAAGGAATATATACATACGAAAATACATTTTCTAATACACAACCACAAAACGGGGTTTTTTCATATTGGTGTGCATAAAACAGGCTATATTTCTGGAGACACGCACTTCCGTTCGTCCGAAAGAACGGTTGCAATCACTGTCCACTTGTAAGTATCCATATATATTATGGCAGTCGGGAGTGCAAAAAGCAGAATTGCCTGAGCGTGAGCTGATTCAAAGAATGTCAAGCAGAGTCCATAACATTGTTGATTTTCGTTAGATAAAGTTGTACGTATTCTTATATGACATTGCGACGATAAAAATATTGTAATAAGCTGAGCAAAAGAAAATATGAAAAACAAAAAAAAAAAAAAGAATAAAAATGAGAAATGTGAAACCACGAATAAAAATTATAGAGAAAATAGAATGATATTGAGCGATTAAAATCTAATGGCGAGTGTGTGTGTGTGTATATGATGATGTGTGCTGTTTTGGTATGACTTGGCTCTACGGAAAACTTCCTTTTCGTATAAATATGAGCCATTGAATGACATTAAATCGCTTTCTCTTCCATACTGAGCGATCGGTATAGCGATAACAATCGAATAAATTCAGTCACTTATGATTGAGTGTCATGATTTTTTGGCACACGTTTCCTTGCTCTTTGCCGTATACATATAATAAACTTTTGAGAAAAATAAGCTATTTTTTGTAATTTAGTTGGTTTGTGTTTGTTGCTATTCGCGCAGAAGATTAAGATAGTCATCAAAAGGCATAATTGAATATGGATATACTCCACTCTACTTTTGGGATTTTAGTTGATAGACCAGAGCAATTATGACCACTAATAACATTTATCATTTTCAAAGGAGAGCCATTGATTTCATAAGATTTATTATAAAAGCAAAATGCAATCATGAATTCAAGTCGCAAAACACATCCAATTATCCTTGTCGTATATTTGTTTCTTGTTTCACATGCAAGCGAGGCAAAAACTATTAAATTTCTAGATCACAGCTCCTAATATTCACGAAATGGACAAAAAAATTATTGAAGTGTACGCAGCATCCGATAGAAATAGATTCACAGGGCAGTTGATATAAATATCACATCATTTCCAAATGGTTCCCATATTTGTATTGCCAGCAATAAAAATTGAACTTCCAACTTCTTTGGTACATAAGTTTTTAGTTCTCTCTAATAGGAGAGAAGTTTTGCCCATGTAACATGTGGATAAGATGGGAAATCACTTTTTTTTCTTTGTGTATATAGCACATGTAGGTGCTTGGGCATCTTGAGGACATTCTTTTCAATTTGCCATATATTTTGGCTGTAAGCGAAATTTTCAATGTATCACTTTGGATGTTGATCATGATTTGATTGTTATTTCGTGTATATGAAACCATTTACTCGTGTATGTGACGGTCCGATGAAACCACATAACGCTATCCGTAACATCAGTTGAATAATATTGTATATCTCGAAAATGGTCACATAAAAGAATTTGATTTATAGATTTCATATCTTTTGAAATCATATACTTTGAAACTGTGTGTTGTAACTCTTGCTATGTATGTGTGTATTTTTCCAAGCGGTTATATCGTTTGTTGCTTCAAATGTGTTACTGTCGTCATTTCCGCGAATGGTTTTTTCATCATATGGTCATTATGAGTTGTGAGAAATTTTATTGCTGCACATTCACATTTCCAGAATTCATTTGGATCTGGTCATTGCTTTTAAGTCGTTACCATGCAACATTGCAATAGGTAATAGAATGTTAATTTTATAAATTCAGTTTATGGCAGAAACATTTTGCTTGTGTTCTTATAGGAGTGTAATGTACTTTTTTAATCGACTTTTCACCTCTCAATAAATAATATATATTTTTCGTTTAATACATATTTTTTTATCCAGGTCAAAGGATCTAATTTCGAAGTTGTTATGTGAATAAAAACCACAAATAAATAAACAATAAACACTTTACATTTCGATTGCCCCTCAATATGTTGTCGAACACACGGAGGCACATACACACATATATGCAATTCGTTTGTCCTTATTGTGCTATTTCCAGCGCCAATTCAGCGATCATAACGCACTTTACAAAAGTGCACGCATTAAAATACCGAAAACGTTTCAATTAACATTCACCCTCAATAATGAACGTTGGCCTGTTTCGCTCACCCACTTTGTTCAGACACACTTGAACCACGTATTTTGCCATTGTTATTTGTTTTTTTTTTTTTACATTAAAAGGACAAATTAAAATGAAAATGCTCGACATACTAAATTTAGAAACGTGGTTGCACGTGAAACATCTACGTTAGTCTTGAACAAGATGAAATTTCTACTTTTTTTTTTAAATGAATTCTCAATTTCTATGACCTCACGCGAGTATGAGCCAAAATAAGTCTGAAACAACTTAAAAACCACAAATTCCCCTCAAAAAGTCTATATATATTATGTATAATTTGTGTATTTAAGTATGCGGTTTACTGAAATAGCATAAAAGATGGGTTGTTATGGAATCATTTATCATTGTTGAACAATTTTTCTAATTCATCAAAATAGAGGAAACAGGTTTCCAAGTTGTTATCACGGGGGATCGGCAGTGACACAATACCAACATACATATACACATATTTATATGTGATATGTAATTTTGCGTCACTCTATATATACTGTAAAGAAATGAAAATCGAGATGGAGGGCCGCAATACCGGGCTACCACTACCACCATATTTAGATAACTTCTGGGGCC